CAGGGGCTGCAGCCTACACTGTCGCTGGTGACTCAGGGCAGCCCAGCTCCAGGTGGAGCTGTTGTTCACCATCTTAGCTGTAGAGGGCGCAGTGTCACTGGCCCTCATGTGGGATCCGAACTAGGGTCCTACTGCTCAGAGCTGGCATCACAAACCAGCTCTTAACCAACGGGCCACTCGCCTGGCCCGCCTAGTTGTACTTTCTTTGTCTTTTCCTTGGTTAGCCAATAGTTTACTAATTTTATGTTTTATCATCATTAATACTTGGGTTGATTTAAGTTCCAGTGTACTAAGTATTTTACACATCTCATTTAATCTTCAAGATAACGTAGCCAGGTGGATGTCATGGATGGGAAAACAGCTCCCTGAAGGTCGAAAGGTTCAAGATCTCTTTGAAATATAGCTGCCATTCTTAAGGGGTAACTAGAGCTGAATGTCTTGCTCCAAAGCTTGAGCTTATTTCCTATGCATCCGCTGCCCTTTGAGAAGATAATTTTAAGGGATGGGTAGGATGTGGATGTCTCAGGTTAATAAAGGAGTTAAATCACTGATTAACCAATGTTGAATAATACTTCGTGTTTCTGAATCATTTCCTTTTTCAGAATGGTAAGGGCAAAGGAGTCACAGTGAAGTGTTCCAGGGTTTGGCAGGTACTGAACACCTCCAGTGAGCAGGTCAGAGGTGAAAGGAAGCACCGTCATTCCCAGGAACATCGGCCCCTGGGGCACACACCGACGATACTTGAGCCCGAAGCTGGGAAGTGTGTTTCCCCGTGAAACACTGTTTCAGTTGCGCGCTTGACAGGAAGGCCGCTTCAAGGCACGGGGCCTCTCGGGTGTGTGGGGGCTGGCTCGGAATCCCGAGCAGCAGTCGAACCGCTCCACCTGGGTCTCCGAGGCCGGACGTTTCCCCGCCCCGGCGCCCGCAGGTCCCTCCGAGCTCAGTCGACCCTGAATCCTAAGAGTCGGCTTTTCTGATTGGCTTAGAGTACCAAAGCAGGCGAGCGCAGCCCGAGACTCGCTCTTTGATTGGGTTTTAAAGGAACAGCAGAGCACGAAATAAAGAGGCCTCCAGTCATTGGGCCATTGTGTGAATCTCCTTTTGGCTTCTCTGCCGCCTGAATAAGCGTCTCAGGATCTTCGTCATGAGTCTTAAATCTGGGCCTGTCAGTTTGCCCCAGCGTTACTCGTCTCTAGGCAGGGCATGCAGTTTACAGAGTTCAACCAATCATATAACGCCGAGATCAGGTTGCCAGGCAGATTATGCTAATGAGACCCCGCCTTTTATACTGCTCCCACTCTGCGGCGGGAAGAACCACCTGGAGGTGGCGGGGGGGGGGTTGATTTCCATCACCCCTAGGGAGAGAGGATCAGGGACCCGCTGATCTTCCAGCTCCCCTCACCCAACGTCGTGTAAGTACCTAAAGGATTAAGGGAACCGGATAAGCCAGCGTCCAGAGTAACCCATCGGCTGGGAGGGTGTTTCGTCTTTGCTTAGTCCCACCCAAAATGGCGCCAAGCTCTTTCCGCGTCTCAGAGCCCGGCCGGGGCCAACCGACCGCGGACCCGGGTGGGGGGGGGAATTGATGGTGGTGGTGGGGGGGAGAAATCCCGGCGGCACCGCCCGATGGTACAGTCCAGCCGGGGCTGGGACGCGGCACCTCACTCGGGGTGGGGGGTCAAACCATCTGCACCTTCTAAGGGGAAAGGGGCAAAACCCCCTAGAGGAGTCCCTCCTGGCACCGCGCTTCGCAATGGCTTCGGTGCCGCTTCACCCCTGCCTTCGCCGCGCGCAGCCTCCCCTCTGCGACCCCCGAGTGGCTCGCACGCTCCGCCGGTCGCGCGCACCTCTCCTCCCCTGCCCGCGTTGGTTGGGCCGGGACGGCAGTTGGGCGCCCGGCGCGCTGCTGCCGCGGCGGTTGGGCGGGCGCTTGGGGTGCGACGGGCCGTCTTCCCTGGCCCGGGCCGGGAGGGGGTAGGGTGGGGGGTGCGGCTCAGGCCGCGGGGCTGTGCGGGCAGCTGGCCCTGCGCCATGGAGGGCTCCTTCGGAAGGGGCGCCCTGCTTTGTCTTGTGAGGCCTCGCTGCCACCTGCCATTGATTGCCGGCCCCCTGTCCCTTATTTACAAATGGGCGTCACCAGGACCCGGGGAGGCCCCGCTTGGAGGGACTTGGGGATGGCGCGTTGGGATCAGTCTTGGTAAACAGTGGCCCGGGGTGAGCTGGGCGGAGGCCGAGGTCAACCTTCGCTCGGTGTCGAGTGCAAAGGCGGGAATCAAAGGCCTTTGCGGAGCGGGTGGGTGGTGTTCTAGTTTCCAGCCGAACGTCGGCTTTCATTAAGTATTTGTGAGTCTGTGGCCTGGTATTAGGTACTCTAATCTCCTAGGTAAAGTGAACGTGGCGCTTTTGAATTTTTGTGGGCGTGTTTAGCCTGGCTTGGCGGATTTGTTGGATTTCAGTCAACTTCCAATCGATACTTGTGTATGCTTCAACACAAGAGGGCTGGTTGGGGTGCTGTCATCGAGGGTTAAATGTGTGATGAGTTTCACCCAGTCCATCTCTTTTTCTAATTCACCTTCGCCTTTTCAAATCTTGCCGGGCTCATGACCCCCCCTCCCCCCAAGGTTTTTAAACCAGACAGTACTTTATTAAAAAGAAATCACTCGGAACTGTTTCGTGGCCTCTTTTTCTGACCCGTTCTTTGATTATCACTTAACTTTTTGCTGTAAACTCTTTGAAAGGAGGAAGGTGTAGTGTGTTTTTGGTCTACTCACTCCGCCTACAGCACCACAATAGCTTCCACGTATAACCATACTTNAAAATTGTTAGAAAATATTTTCTATAATGTTTGCTGGAAGCTATCTTTTTGAAAACTGGTCATTCACATCCTCTTAGCCTACTCTACTAAAGTTTTTTTTTTTTTTTTTTTTTTTTTTCATTTTGCTCCTCAATACTATTTTTTCCCACCACTGGCTCAAAGTCTGCAGCTATCTTTCTCTTCTACCCACTGCCATGTCCTTCGGTCATTTTCCTCCATCAATGTTCAGCTAGAAGTGCAATCATGTCCTAAACAGGAGGAAGAAGTTGGCCTAAGGCCACAGTTTATTTAAAACAGTCTACATTTAATACAACTCTCAACTACTGCTTAAAAAGTGACCTTGAATAAACAACTAGCAATCCAGCTACTCTAGTAGTTTATTCACAAGTGAAAGTATACCGGGGCTGCTGGGCTGCGACCTACAACACTTTGTAATCAACAGTTGTGATCAGAGAAAAGAAAATCATAGATCACCCAGCTGTGTTTCCTGCTGTCAGTGAGGTGGGCAGAAAGAGTCAAAAGTAACCTTGGCAGGTGAGCTGCCTACAGGCAACATGGTGAAACAAGGCAAGTGTGCCTGGAGCAGAGACTTGGACCTCTGGGACTCCAGAAAATCCTTAATAATTGAGTCATCTCACACATCTCATTGCTTGAAGGACAAAGCTAAGTGCTTAATAGTCTCTCCATATCTCCATATTTTTCTCTGGTGTTTCCTATGATTATTGTTACTGTTTAGGAAAACTATTAATTTGAATTTAATAATTGTGTGTCTGATTACCATTTCAAACTCTCTTATAGACTCAACTGTATATCAACACATACCCTTTGGAAAAAAAANGAACTGGGGCCCTGCGGTTCAGAGCAGGCATCCCAAGCCAACTCTTAACCAACGTGCCACTCAGCCGGCCCTTTAGTTTCATTTTATTTTAATTTTTTAAATTATATTTAATTTATTGGGGTGACATTGGTTAGTAAAATTATATAGCTTTCAATTGTACCATTTTATAATGCATCATCTATATATTGCATTATGTTTTCATCACCCAGAGTCAGTTCTCCTTCTATCACCATGTATTTGACCTCCTCTACCCTCTTCTACCACCCTCCCCACAAGCCTTAGTTTTTTTATCAAATCATTTAACTAGTTTCTTAATTATGAATGGGGATAATAGTACCAAATCTCATAGACTCCGTAGGAGAATGCTTACCACTTACCATAACAGTATAAATGGCTCAATAACAAAGTACATAGCAATTGTGGCTTGGTAACTGTTTACTGATTATGGACCCTCTGCTTTAGCCAAACTCATCTTCCCATTGTCCCTACAATATTCTGGGGTGTTCCTTCATCTTTTCACTCCTTCATTTCTCATATGGAATGTTTGTTCCTCTCTGCCCACCAAAATCCCATCCACCCTTCTAGAGCAGTGCTTGGTAAACTTTTTAGGTAAAGAACTAGGGAGTGTTTATCCGAAGAAATCCAAAACACTATTTTAAAGAGATACATGCACCCTTATGTTCTTTGCAGCATTATTTACAATAGCTAAGATATGGAAGCTACCCAAGTGGCTGTCAATAGATGATAAGAGAAAGAGATGTGGTACGTATACACAATGGGATATAACTTGGCCATAAAAAAGAATGAAATCTTACCATTTGTAACAACATGGATGAACCTTGAGGGTATTATACTAAGTGAAATAAGTCAGACTGAGAAAGACAAATACAGCACCATATGATCTCACTTATCTGTGGAATCTAAAGAACAAAATACGCAAATAAAACAGAAACAGATTCATAGCTATAGAGAACAAATTGATGGTTGCCAGAGGGGAGGGGGGTTAGGGAGCTGGGTGAAAAAGGTGAATGGGTTAAGAAATACAAATTGGTAGATACAAAATAGTCATGGGGATGTAAAGCACAGCATAGAGTCAATAATGTTGCAATAACTAGGTATAGTGCCAGGTGGGTGCTAGACTAATGGGGGGAAAATCGCTGCATAAATTATGTAAATGTCTAACCACTATGTTGTACACCTGAAACTAATATAAAATAATATTGAATGCCAATTGTAACTTAACAACAACAACAACAACAACAACAACAAAAGAAACAGGGAGTAAATATTTGTGGCTTTGCTGGCCAGCCATATGGTTCTCATCACACCTGTTCTCTCCCACCTACATAGTGTGAAAGCATGGCTGTGTTCTAATTAAACTTTATTTGTGGACCCTGAAACTTAGAGTAATATAACTTTAATGTGTCACAAAATAGTCTTACTTTGAGTCTTTTCAACTATTTAATTAAAATTAATTAGTTAATTAATCTATTTTAACCATTTTAAAATGTAAAAACCATCCTTAGCTCACAGGCCATATGAAAGCAGGTGTTGGGCCGCCGTGGGCTGTGGTTTTCCAACCCCTGCACTAGAGCACACACTCCTTACTGAGGCTCTGTTGACCTTACTTGAAAATGACCCCTTTTGTCTATGAATGCCCTACAGGATTTTTGTACTGGTTTGTAATAGGAACATTTTTGAGTGATTAATTTGTATGGTGTGGCAATTATTGGGTTGTTGGAAAAGTCATTACGTATGTTTTCTATGTTTTTCATTGCAAAAATGCGTCATGACTTTTCCGACAACCCAATATTTGTGTTTATTTCTTGCTTCCTGAACATACTATAAATTCCTTGAAGCTATGGATATTTTTTAGCCCCCTCATACAGATTGCAATACAAGAATGCCTTTTACTTACTGGATTCTCAAATGTTTGGAGGAATAAAGGAGTGCATACAATTAACTTAAGACATTCAAAGTGATTTCTAAAGTTTTCCTCCCTTTTCTTCAAAATTCTTATTTTTGGAGGCAAATCCTACCATTTTCTTAGCATTGCTTGAAGATTTGGAGGCCAGTCTATTGGGGGTTATTCTCAGTCTTGTCATAAACTATGATTACAGGGAAATTTATAATGTCCTTCTGGTAGTGGGATAGCTGTAACTCCATTGACTAATTATTGCTTTGTGTTTGACTATCTTTTTAGTGTCCTTTCTAAGTCACCTGTTTATGTTTGATCCGTAATGTGTGACATTGACAGAACAGCGTGCTGAATACTTTACAAAGGAGGAAAATGAGATAGAAGTTTAGTGAATCATGTGAGAGTGGTGGGAGCCAGGGCTCAGGAGCGAAGTGTCTGTATTTCCCAATCCCAGGCGATTGTGTGTATATTAAGGAGATATCAATCCCTTACTCATCATTTATTCATCTTCTCTTCCCTTCATTTTCTCTTGAAGTTGGTGAATTAAAATTACTCTGCGTTTTACTTACTTCATAATTTGATAACTATAAGGACCTATGACCAATAGATGTTTAGGACACTTGTTTATGTGACTACAAGTTTTCTTAAGTACATTAAACCTGTTGGAATGACATATGACATAACTACAAAACAGTAAATCTAGAATGAAAACTAAATTATGTAGCAGTAATTGTGCTTGATGAGCTTTATTTCATTTAAAACTTTAAAAAGTTTATATATATATATATATATATATATATATATATATATACACACTTATCCCAAATACTAGGTGTCTCATCAAAAATATCTTTTTATGCATCATTTAAAAAATTACATCTTTTTTTCAGATTCATAGTTTTTCAGCAGTTATAAGCTGTAGGAGATGTATTTTAGTCCCAGAAAGTATGTATAAGACCTTTACAGAAAAAATTCTAAAGCTTTATTGAGTGTCTTTAAACAAAACCTAAACAAATAGAGAGACACACTGGTTCAAGGATCGGAAGATTCAATATTGTAAGGTGTCAATTCTTTGGAAACTGCTTATAGATTTAATGTAATTCCAGCAAATTTTAAAAAAGTAGACAAGCTGATACTAAAATTTTTGTCAAGGCCCAATAAAAGGCAACACACTCTTGGAAAAGAGAAGGAAATTGGACAAACTTCTCTAATAGAGATCAAGAAGAGCTATAATAATTAAGACAGTGTAATATTGGCACCGAGGTAGACTAATAGATTGATAGAACACCATAAGGAGTCCAGATACATTTCACACATATTCATGATTTATGACCCAGGAGGCATGGCAGATGAAAGGCAAAATAATAAAGCTTTTATTTATTTATTTATTTATTTTAAAGATT